GCGCAGAGTGCGGATGCCGAGACCCTCGCTGAGCGCAAGCGGGAACAAGCGTGCACGAAAGTGAAGGCGGGCGAACTTTCCAGAGCTCGCCAGCTCCTAACTGCGGCAGAGCTCGCGCCCGGTAGCGAGGACACCTGGCGTGCATTGACGGACCCTGCCCGCCGTCCACGAGAACAGCGCAAGCCCATCCCGCAAGCCGTCCTGGAGCAGCGCACGGCCCGTCGCGTCCAGCTCGGACCTGCTGCAGTCGCGGCTGCTTTGCGCGACGCACGGCGCGGAGGCGCAGCGGGACTTTCAGGCATGCGTGCAGAGCACCTCAAAATTCTGCTCGCAGACGTGCCAGCGGCGTTGGAGCTCCTCGCGTGTGCCGCGACCGAACTGGCGAATGCGGATGTGCCGGCAGACATCGTGTCGGGACTCGCTTTAGCGCGCCTTACAGCTTTACGCAAACCGGGTGGTGGTGTGCGTGGCATCGCAACAGGCGACGTCTTCCGCCGCCTTGTTTCGCACGCCCTCGCCAAAACGTGGGCACATGTGTTCGATGAGGCAACTCGACCGTTCCAATACGCGCTGCAGGCGAGAGCTGGCACCGATGCTTTGGCAGCGCACGTGCGCACCGCCCTCGAAATGCGGGAGGACGCAGTTCTCGTGTCGCTTGATGGCCGCAGCGCCTACGACACCATGTCTCGCGCATCCTTCCTCACCGCTCTCCACTCCGCTGCACCAGAATTGGTCCCTTTCGTGCGCCTTTTTTATGGACAGCCATCAACTTATTGCTGGTGGGACAGCGAGGGCAATAATTGCCGCAACATCGCTCAAGGCGAAGGCTGCGAGCAAGGTGATCCACTGGCCCCGGCCCTTTTCGCGTTGGGACAGCATGGTGCCCTGCTCAAGGCAGCCTCCGCCCTTGACGACTTGTACGTCCTGACTACACGCGAGCGAGCACGTGCCGCCCGCGATGTAGTAGTCGGAGTCGTCGAGACGGAATGCGGCATAGCTTCAAACGAGGGGAAGACGCGTGTGTACAGCTATGCCGGCGGTCCGCCTCCTCCCGGAGTCGATGAGCTGGGGGCCGATGTGTGGCGCGGGGACAAGCCACTGGCAGAGCGTGGGCTTGTTGTGCTGGGCACCCCGGTTGGCCACCCGCAGTTCGTCGCAGCGTGGGCAGCACAGCGGCTCCAGACGGAGAGAGAGCTGCTGCACCAGCTCCCGCAACTCCCCGATCTGCAGTGCGCATGGCTTCTCCTGGCAATGTGCGCCTCGCCGCCAGCCAACCACGCGCTGCGCACCGTGCCCCCGCAGGCCGTAGAGCCTTATGCGCAGGCACATGACGCAGCGCTGTGGGAGACGATGGAGACGTTGGAGCTGTGCCTCGGCGGCGTGGCCACAGCAGACGTTACACACGCGCAGAACATGTCAACCTTGCCGGCAGCCCTCGCAGGTTTGGGCCTCAGCTCTGCTGTTCGCACAGCGCCGGCCGCATATTGGGCTGCATGGGCCGACGCGTTGCCGGAGCTCCGCAAGCGATCCCCAGCCTTCGCAGATGCCTGCACGCGGTTGCTCGCTGCAGGCGGAGGGCGAGCGCAGAGCCTCAAGAGCGCAGTTGAGGCACGAGAGCTCCTTCAGGCGGAAGGTTGGCACGAGTGCCCTTCTTGGGAAGCGATCGGGGCGGGCGCCCGTCCACCGCGTACGACTGATCAGGGCCTGGGTGAATGGCCACATGGATGGCAGTGCTGTGCATCGCGTATTCGCAACCTTTACTTTCGCGAACGCACGCTCCTGCCCTCCCTGTCGCCGTCCGCATGCGCCCTCCTCCGGTCGCAAGCAGGCCCACACGCCGGTGCCTGGTTGACCGCAATACCCTGTGAGCCGGCCTGCGTGCTTCCGCCCCAAGCAATGCTCCTGGCACTGCGCCGCCGCCTGCGTCTCCCGCTGCCCCTGTGTGCCAGCCGTTGTGGCCCACCCGGATGCGGAGGAGAAGTGGACGCTTTTGGCGACCACGCCCTCGCATGCACTCGCACCGGTCTGATAGCGCGCAGGGCGAAGATCTTGGAACGCGCGTGGGTGCGCGTAGCTCGGGAGGCCGTCGGTCCAGATGGGCAGGTGGTCCCCCAACAGTGGCTCGTGTACACGACAGCACCCAACGTCCGCTCCGATGACCGGCGCCGCCTGGACCTCGTCATCTACGGAGCGACGCCTCTCGGCGGGGCCCTGTGTTGCGACGCCACACTCGTGTCGCCGCTGTCACGCACGGGCTTGCTGCAGCCCTGCGCTGCCGCGCACGACGGAGCCAGCTTGCGGGTCGCCGAGCGCCGCAAGCGAGCCGCCTACCCAGAGCTGAACGGTGGCCCGCAACAGCTGGTGGTGCTCGGAAGCGAGGTCGGCGGCCGGTGGAACGCCGGTGCACGCCAGCTGCTCCGAGACCTTGTGCGTGTCCGTGCTCAGCGAGCTCCGCCGCCCGTGCGCAGTGCTGCTTCGTCGGGATGGGCCAGACGTTGGTGGGCAATGCTGGCTGTGTCGGTACAACAGGCCGTCACAAGCACTGCCCTCGGGTCAGCTTGGCCGACGCCGCTTCACGCGAGCCAACGCTCAGCCCCAGAGCTGGATCGCGTACTCGACCTTGCGGACGCCTCAGGGCCGAGCCGCCTGCCGCCACGTGGCGGGTAGGGAAGAGAAGGGGTACAGTAGAAGGCTGCACAACAACGTGCGGCAAGAGCAGGACATTCGTGCCATGGGAAAAAAATCAAAACGATCGGGTAATGTTGACCCCTGATTAATAACCCCCCCCCCTCAAGGTTGTCAAGGTCGCAGGCCCCCCACAGGATCACAGACCCCCAAATATTCCCGTGAAGCCAAATTGCAGTAAACAGTGGTGCTAGTAGTAGTAGTAGTAGTAGTAGTAGTAGTAGTAGTAGTAGTAGTAGTAGTAGTAGTAGTAGTCGTAGTCGTAGTAGCAGCAGTAGCAGCAGTGGCAGTAGCAGTAGCAGTAGCAGTAGCCCTGGAAAGAACCGCTTGAAAGAGGACAAGACGCCCTTTAAATGTAGTCTTGCCCTCTTTCACAGTAGTCTTCGAAGCACTGTTTGAAATTTTAGATCCCCACATGATGTTGCCTTTAATCGTGGGGGTTTTCTGCAAAAAACGATCTTTATTTGGGTGCTGCCTTTAAAGTAGTACAGATTGGGGCCGGAGCCGCCCGCAGGCCGCCTTTAATCGTAGGGGGATTATTAATCCTAGGTCAACATTAGCCATAACCACGCCGGAGCCAGTACTTTTGACACAAGTGCGGAAACACAGTGACAGGAACAACATCGACCATGTTGAGGTGTTTCCCACATGGTCAGTCAGTGTGTTGCGAAATTCCGTGCAAGGTATCAACGTCGAGCTGCGGCGGGGGCCCTCTACACAACCGCTGGTGGTGGTGCATTCGAGCCACGTGTTTCGCTGCGTTTTGCTTTTCGAACAGATGAGGTGGAGAATGGCGTGGAACTCGGTTTTACGTTGTTCGGTTGCCTGCTTGCGTATATAATATCGCCACGCGCAAGCGGTGTGATTGCAGCCATGCTGAAGTCGATGTTGTCGGAGCTTGTGAGTGTGACATGATGTGGCGACCAAGGTGCAGATCTGAAATCATCGCACATAGACCTGGCCTTTGGCGCATCCAAGTGCTTCCCTTAGATCTCTTGTGTTGCGCTGGGGCGCACGATGGGTTGTGAAACCTGCATCAGGTCATGCAAACACTGGTCATCAGCATTGACAGAAGAAATGTCGAGGCGCATCGGGGCTGATTGTCTCGTTGCCATGTCCATCTCGTTGAAGCACACCTTGCGGGCAGGAATCAAGACGAGAAGTTCAACTGCAAGAAACCGGAAGGCAGGTAAATAGTGGTGTGCCAGCAGTAGCGGTGGCGTCAGGAGAATTAGCCCAAGATCCGCAGTAGGTCATCAGTAGTTTCCCGCTTTGTGCCCCGGGACCGCTTCTTCCAACTTCTGATAAAAAGATGCCCAAGCTTACGGCATTCGCAATTGTTGCGACGAACAGCGCCGGTTGGACATACAGTGGCTGCTTGTGGCTACTGCGGCATGGCATGTGTGCCTTCAGGTTTCGAATTCTTGGGGGCCGAGCTGCGGAAGCCTGGGGCACAGCTACAAGTTGGCTTCGCGTGTTGCGGCCAATGCATCCCTTCCCCTCCTCTGCCCTCGTATGCACAGTGAGAGTTGCAGCTCCGTATGCGGGATCGGCTTAAGGGTTTGGATTTGACGTTCTAGAGTCTTGGGGCACAGTTTAAACTAAAGTTAACGAGGGAAGAGTTGACGAATCAGGCTTCAGGTTCAGCATCTTATGGCTAAATTTGCTTTTGCAGTTCCAAACAGTGTGCTCATGCCGTGCGTTGTTCATGACCTGTTTTGTGAGTATGAGGTCAAGCATCTCCTTCGGCGAGAGCGCTGTCCTCAGCACCAAACACGGTTAAAAAGCATCAAGCCGCCTTCCTTTAGTTCCTTGCCGATCATGCTCGAGTGTCGAGTGCATCAGCAGCCACTACTGAGGGTCTGAGGAAAAGCTGTTGTCCGAGCCTCGAATCTCCAGCAATTGGAAAGCGCATTAGCTCCCTCCATGTGATCGCGGCCGGGGCTCGCAATGCAAAGATCGCGCAGCCACTCCAGGAGCCATCAGAAACAGCAGTTCACTGCCCCACCCAAGGCCGGTTGAATGCTGTGCGCATGCAGCGGCAGAGTGTGTTGTCGTGATGACATGTGGCTGCTGTTGATTTGGATTTCTGGTTGTGCAGTTTTGCTTTGATACATCGCTGCTTGCCACTGCTGTCGAAGCTCAGTAAACGCGCATGGATCGGATAATTGTGCAAGCTGCAAGCCTTAGCACGCGTTTATGTCAATGTTTGGGCATGTGAGGCAGCATCTGTGGGTTTCGCCGTTTGAGATTTTCATGGACAGGTAGGACGCAAGAGCTCAGTAAATATTGGGGCCACGGCACAGATTTGCAGAATGCCCACCCCGGTGACTTTGGCGACACTGTCGGACGCGTTTTGGGATTTGCCTCGGTGTCTTGGCACATCAAGTTTTCGTGTTGCCATGTCCACCGGGGACAACGTATTTTTTTGTTTATTTTTTTCTCCAGGTCCCGACGATTACTGCGGCAATGCTTGCTGCATCTTAGCTAACACGTGGTCGAACATGTCGAGCCGAACACGGGCAGAGTATTCATGTTTAGGATCACTGACTTACGCATCGTTCGTGCTAGTTGCTGCGGTTCGTTGAAGGCACCCGTTTTACAAGGGTTTGGTGGATGGCACCGGCTCCATGTACCACTTCCGGACCTTCGCCTCTCGGCAGAGAGACGATTGCAAGCTGCTGCCGTGCGAGTCGGGTTGATTCGGGTTGGTCATACCAGTCGAGCGGCAGCATGGCGGCATCGAAGGTGCAGCAAGAAATGCTTCTGCTCCCAGCTTGGCGGCTCGTGGCCGACGCGTTGCTAAGCAACGGAGAAGGCATGCCACAGGCAGGATTGCACTGGCAAGTCAGTGTTTGGTGCTTGGAATGTCCCAACCGGATTGCAGGGGTCGGTAGTAAATATGACATATGATTCATCAAACAGCAGTTTGGTTCATTGAACTGCTTTTCAGGTTGTGGACTGCTTGACCGATGAATCAAGATTGCACAGCACCTTCTCTGCCAGTTTCGGCTTCTCCCCAGAGGCACGATCCACACTGCCGGGAGCGGGGTTCAGAGTTTTGAAGCGAAGCTGGATAAAGAGCTGTTCCGTTCATGAAACACAATGGAAACAGGAGTTTGAAAAAGTTAACCTTTGTTGTGTTCGCAGGCGCCAGAGCCGCTGCCGAGCACGGCGGCATACATGGACGCAGTGGCTAGCAGGGGACGTGTGAAGGGTGTTGAACTTTGGGATGGTTCTGCAAACTGAGAACACAGTGACAGCTGTGGGGCATGTCAGTGTAGCTGATGCAATAGTCGACACCACTCACAAGCACGCGCATGTAGAAGCCAAGGACTTTCTGGAAGAAGTCGCGGACTTTCAACGTGGCGATCATACGAAGCTTGCCGAGAGTGATTTAGTTTGGGTTTTTGCAATAGGTGGGAAACAACTGATGCATCTTCTGCCTGGGGAAGCAGAGCGCTGCAACACAAGATAACACAAGCCTTGTCTTCCGGATAAGGATTCTGGAGTGCAGCGTCCGTGCTTTGGCAACACTTTCGGCGAGATTTCGGCTGCTGCACTGGATCAGCCATGCGCTGCTGGATGCGATCCCGGACCGGAGTGCACCAGTAAGCAGTTTCAGCCACCGCTGCAAAGGGAAGCGAACAGAAAGATGTTGCTTAATCAGCCAAGATGAAATAATTTGAAGAGGAAGAAGCTCCTTTTAGAAACAAGCAAGTCCTTGAGGAAGTGGCCACCAACGACAGTCCTAGTGCCAGATGGCTGAGCTTCTGCCCCGGGCTGAGCAGGGAAAATTGATGCCTTTGGGTTACGGATGCATGTCACGAAGTTCACAGAGAGCTCGAAAGCAGAACTTGTGCACCTCAAAGTGGCGCAGCTTTGGAGGCGACGCGGACGAATTCCGCAACATTGCCGCGCGTCTAGGCGCAGCATTGGATGTGGCCGCCGGCCGAGGATGGGGCGGGGACTGGGTTGGCGGGGCACTGGCACGGTTTTCAGGCTTAGGCTTCGGGTCTCGCAGCCCGCGGTGCAAGCGATTGTGGCCTTTCTTGCAAAGTTTTTGAAAGCAGCTGAAAGCACTCGGGAGGTGCCCTGGAACGTCAAGCGGAACTGGGCAGTGTGCCGGTTGCAGAGCATTCAGACCTTGGACTCAGGCTCTGAGGATTTTTGGGCTTGTGAGATACAGTATAAGAATGTATAAGATGGTATAGGTCTGAGGCGGGGCATACAGTACCAGACAAAAGAGGTCTCACAACGCCGTGCTTTTCATTCCAGGTCGGACATACATCGACACTCTGCGACACGAGTTTGACTTTCTGATGGAGAGCCTTGGTGCCATGGACTGGCCATGGATAAGCATTGGTTTCGCTCTGCGGCTGGCCACAGCACTCGCAAGAAAGAGCGAGTTTCCTCTTTGCCTAGACACTGACGGTGAGGCTAGGAGCACTCTTTGAAGGAGTCCGGGTCGGGTTTGCTACTTGACATGGGAAGAAGAGGTTTTGTCAACGCTCACTTGTCAGGATCTGCGGCGGCACAACGCAATCTTTGGAGGAGAGATAGCTGCTGGTACCCGAAGCACAATTCAGGGCATTCCGGCTTATTCCTGATTTTCGAACACGTATGAGCGGGTGCTTGAATTTTCATGGCAGAGCTTGGCATGATAACACAGGTTTTGCTTGCGCTTCGGGTCGGAGGCATGTCCCAGAAAACTGCTGACCTGAGTGCATGTTCTGTCGAGCAGCTTTTCTCGGAGCAAGAGTAACATGACATGAGACTTGCAGGACTCCAGATGTTGCTAGTTATCGAGACTTGATTCTTCGTGTCTTTCGATATCAGATTTGTAGCCAGAGCTTTAGGCCAAGTTTAGGCCTAGGCTTGAAGATCCATTCCACACGGCGAAGGAATTTTTGCAAATGAGCATCAACCGGCCCTGCCCGTGCTGACGGCACCAGACCGATAGGGTCGCATAGGACGGTCAACTGGTGTGTCATGCCCGAATACCGGCTCATGTTGGTACCATGTCGGCGCGGCCGGCGCTCGACGTGCTGCAGCTGGAACAGCACGGGTGCGCAGGGCGGTTTCATGCTGCGGCATGCGGATTTGCGAGGACTTCGGTCGGAGTGCTCAGGGTTTCTGGAGATGGTGCCGTTGCTGTTGGTGTTGTTGTTGGTGGTGGCGCTGTTGGTGTGGTGGTTGTCGCGGTCGTGGTCGCGGTCATGGTTGCGGTTGTTGTTGTTGTCGTTGATGATGAAATTGATGTTGATGTTGATGATGCCGACGAAGAAGAAGATGCTGATGATGGTTTCGTTGGTGATGCTGTTGATGTCAATGTTGTTGTTGATGAAGACGATGGCTGCTGCTGCTGCTGCTGCCGCCGAGGCTGAGGCTGCTGCTGCCGGTTCTGTGGTGTCAGTGGTGATTGCGGTTGGTAGGTAGTTGCTGCAGGCGCCGAGGAACGAGAAGCAAAGCATGCTTTAGCCGTCTAGCCGCGACTGGTCCGTTCAGCGTACAAAAGCATGAGCCTTTCGGAGATGAAACGCGGGGAAAAGCCGAAAGTCGCCGAAAGTCCTTGAGGAGGCGGCGCTGGACAACATGGAGGGCCGGCCTACACACTCCTCATCGCTGGGGTCCAGCAAGGTACCTGCGCCGAGACTTGGAGGCTGCACCATCGGCCTTTCCTGCCTGGCTGGAGAAAGCACGAAGTGTGTTGAGGATGCCTTGTGAGGACAGGACTCGCAAGCACGTTCACCCACTCAGAAGGCCATGGGGAACACATCTAACAAGCCCCGACAGGACATGCCTTCATTCCTGCTGCTGCAGTCGCTGCTGAAATATTTACATGTCGCCGGCGAGGCGGAAGTCAGGTCGTGGCAGGAGATTACAGGTACGAGTGGAGGATGTCATGGCCTGGTTGAACTTGAGGCGCAGCTCAAAGACAAAGCTGTTCACGCCTTCAACATTTTGAAGTTCGAGCTGGCAAAGTCCAGAGATCGCAATATGATGCGTGCTGATCTTCTACGCCCATGCTTCGCATCAGTCTCTTGCGACGCTCTGTTGGAGAGGTTCGCGTCAGGTGATGAGCCAGCTTCAATCCTGGCAAGCTTGAGTGGGTGTGCGCAGGAGGATGCTGAAATCTTGCTCCAATTCGGCGGCCGTCTATCCGAGCTCTTCGCACCGATCGAACTTGCAAAGCGTGTTGGGCGGCAGGATTGGGATTCTCGCCCGTGTTCCCTGGGAGCGTCGCTGCTGCCCTTGGTGGATCAAGCCGTCAGGTCGCTGCAGGAGAAGGGGAAATCTGTCAGAGTATCGATTTTCGGTGGCTGTGGCCTAACAGCGGCACTTGCCAGCCGGCTCGGCTGCACGGTTGTTGTGGTCGAGCAGCGCATGCTGTTGCGCAAGTGCTTGGAGGTGCTCTTCAAGCAAAACGGACTTGAGAACGTCCGATGTGCAGACAATGCCGATCTCGCCTCAGATGTTTTTGTTTGGGAGGGCCTTGACGAGGACGGAATCTTAGAATTTGGCCACTGGCGGGGACTGCAGTTGCAACTGGCGAAGTTGAAGAAGAGAGGTTGCCCAGAACCTCTGATGATCCCAGAGGCCATTCGCGTAAATGCCGCCCTGGTGGATGACAGCCTGTCGCGGATTCGAGGGTGCCGGCTGGGTCGCTTTGCCCCTTCGGTAGCAAGGAATGTGGCTATGAGCTTTTGGATTTGTTGCAGGGCTTCCCGTACTGTTGAAGAAGCCAGTGAACCGAAACTAGTTTGCCAGGACTGCATGCGGGGCTACGATCTCTGCTACTCGCATCGCTGGCCGGAAGGGGCTTGCCATATCCGTCCGTGCTTACGCTCCCCTGTGCAGCACGCTCCTAGTCGCCGTTCTATCCCTTCGCACTTCTGTTTGAAGGGGTCAGGGAAGCCGAAGAGCTGTGCTGCATTGCTCGAGAGCATTGCAGGTTTTCGATCTCTCCTTGGGCCGCGAGACGCCTGGGCATGCGCTGCTGCGGCTCCGTGCGGAGCCCGGAGCGCCGGTCACGGGAGTGGCTTTCTGGGTCGCCTGGCCGTGTCTTTTCCTTTGTCTTGCGTCTAAGGCTGCGTGAAACTCGACCCTTACATTTCTCCAGTGTTTTGCTTGAACAGGTGGAGATACCATCCCTTGCAGTGGCCGAGCCTCGCCCACCTGATGCTGAGCAAACATGGGCGCGCTGCGTGCGACTCGGGCAACTTTAGAGACCGCCACCCAGGAACGTTTTGGGGTGTTGCCCATATTACAGTAGCAGAACGATTCCTGAAAGCCAAAGGGTGATCTTCGGTTTAGGAGAAGAAGTAAGAAGGCAGCGGGGTTACAGAATGATGGGCGGCCAGGCAGCCGCTTCCTCCCAGGAGGGCCGAAGTCAGCGGACCAACGCTTAGCCTTTGGGCCAAGTGTTGCGACTTGTGTTTTGGCAGCAAGGAGTCTCGGTAGAAGGCTGAGATTCGAGGATCGTCTGGTGGGAGTGGTTGTGTCAGGTGCTCTTGAGTGATGTGGATAAGAACTCACTCAGAAAGCCTGCCCAAGAAGGACCAGGAAGGGACACTGCGTCTTTGTGTCGGGCTGCATTGTAGCTGAGGAAGATTTGGTTTTCCTGGGCGGATGAAGACTGCTTGCTTGCCTCGCCTTTGCTTCCGTCTGTTGGGATAAGCAAGTTGCCGCCTTGGCACTACAAGATGCTGAATGACCACGAACGCAACCGTAGATACCATTCCGCAATCGCCCGCGGTGCGGCGAAGGCGAGTGCACGGCGGCAGGCCAGCGGCTTTTCAGGCAGACCAAATGTCCTGGACTGTGGCTGTGGCGCGGGGCTTCTGTCCTTGATCGCCGCTCAAAACGGTTGCGACGTGTCGGCCGTGGAGCTTTCGCCGCTGATCTCGGATGTGACGCTCGAGACCTTCAGAGACGTCAGCCGCGAGTCCGAGTCTGCATCTCTCACGCTTCACACTGCGGACGTACGGAGCCTCACGCCCGAAGCCTTCGGCCTGCAGGGCCCTGCAGGCCCTGCAGGCCATGACCTCATTGTGAGCGAGTTGATGGATGCATCTGGCGTGGGGGAATCTTTGCTGAGCGTCTTGGAGCATGCCTGCCGGCATCTTGCGGCTCCCGGGGCACAGGTCGTGCCTTGTCAGCTGCGCCTCACCGTAGCTCTGGCTTACCTGACGCTGCCGAACTGCCACGGCGGTTTCGACTTCTCGGCCCTGGACATGATCTCCTTCTGCTCGCTGCAGGGCGGGCCCTTTTCGGAGGGAAAGCCGCTGCCAACGCAACTGGAGACGGGTGCTTCAGGGCCGCTGACCGCGTCTGCTCTGCCATCCCTTCATGGCAAGGGGCCCTTCACCTCGCGAAACTTGAACCGCTTGCGAAGGGGCGAGGCCTGATTTGGGCTTGGGATGTTGACGGATTGTGGGATGCAGGGGAGAGGGGAGAGGGTGGAGGTGGTATCACGGATCTCACTTCTCCGACTGTGGCCATCAACATCAGCTCTAGACCCAAATCCTTATGACTCATGATGTCATGGCATGGGACGGGCAGTATGGCTTCATGGCACAAGGTGCCTTCCTGGCGCTTCATTCGGTGTCAAGGTTGTACGGTTCCAAGTTGCAGAGCTCTCCCATATTCCCGGATTGTACCAGAACGAGGCACTAACGGCGGATATGTGTCTACTGACAGCATCTTGGCCCCGGTGCATGTTTCACCTGTATGGGCTAAAAACACAAAGTGTTGTGTTGCATGCAGCTGGTCGGAGATAGTTCTGATGCATCAACACGACTATTTGAGGTCAGATGTATAGAGGAAATCAGAAGACATCAGAAGCCAGCTTCTCATGCAGACGGCTTTGATCGGACAAACGACAAATTATGAACAAATACCCCATGGCCAAAGTACTCCCGTAGCATGTCAGTAGTATCAGTAGTTTATGTATGTATGTATGTAGGTCAGGAGTTTATGTATGTATGTTTGTGTGTATATTTTCTGTATGTATGTATGTATGCATGTATGTATGTATGTACATGCCCATTATTTGGTGCGACAGGGGCCGCGAGGGTTCTGCTTTGCAAGGCTTTAAGTGTTGTGTGAAGGTAGCGAAGTCTTCCGGGAGAGGGGTACCTCGAGCGTGCTCAAGATGCAGGATGATGCAGGCAAACGGCAACACAGAAAAGCGGTTTCCAAAAGACCGACCAACAAGTCCACGCAAGTGCCTGGAGCAGGTTTGCACGATACGCCATTGTTTCAGGGTGATGTAGACCACCTTAGCTTCTTGGGCCCCGGGCCAGGTCTGGGACACGCTGACGCCCGAGGCTCACCTGCTGGAAGTGGACATTCGCCGAGCCTTGCAAGGCCAGTCCCTGTACCCTTGCAAGGGGCAGGCGGAGCTGACGGTGTCGCAGGAGGGTGTTGCCAACTGCATCCTCTGGTGGTGGGAAGCTCAGCTGGACGAGCATGAGACCATCTCGAACAAGCCCCAGAGTCGCTTGACAGCATCGAGGCTTGCCCATCGTGTAGTGTTTCGGTAGGGTTGGGGCAGTTAATTGCTGCAAGCTCGAAGCACAGGAATAGGTTTCGGCGTCACGACATTTGCTTGTGCCCAAGGCCTGGGCAGTGGCTATGTGACTCATTGGCACCAGCCCCTTTGCCCGGTCGGCCCCATCCCTGTGGCAGCGGGTGACCGGCTGAAGCTGACGGTTGAGATCGCGGACGCTGCAGGGCAGAAGATGAAGTTCTCGCTTCTTTGCTTAAGCATTGGATGGAGCGCTTCGGTTGTGTACAGGGACGCCGGGTACGGCAGAGCGCCCCGTGAGGCTACAGCCATCTGAGCCGAATTCGGCCAGGCACTGGAAGGAGGGTGCAGGCGCTAAGCTGGCCCCAGACCCTCTGCAAGACTTACTCCTCGGGTGGCACCTTGGATGGCACGCATCTCTTGCAGTGCTCCATGACTTGACTACTTATCTACTGCGCTCGCACTGCACTACACCTGAAACAACGATCCCAGAAATGCTACCTCAGTGGCGATGGTGACCCGCCACAGCCACAGCAGCAACACTGCCCGCTCTGTGGCGGCCCGTGTCACCACGACGACGACGACGAATTCATGACCACCATGATCACCGTAAGATTTGCAGACACCATACTGCTATCCATGTGCATGTGCCTTGCAGGCATGCAGAGATGGAGGAGGCCTGCGCTCTGAATTCAACTCTCACTACCAAGTGCCTTGTTAATGACGTGGTTTGACCGGTCGAGGGTTTACAAAGCCGGCAGGCCGACATATCTGATTGCTTGGAGTATCTGGGGTCTGTTTTGAGTTGATGCCGCATGACGAGTCGGTTTCCATCTCCCCTCAAAAGCCACCGCGGTATGCACATGAGGCGGTTGCACGGTTGGTTTCTAAGAGGTTGGCCTCCCGACTCCCAACTTCGTCCCGCCCCTTCCACGCACATGCTAAAACCGAGGTTCACTGCCAGGGGCGACCTGGCTGGGCTCGCAAAGCTGCAGACCGCCGTGCTTTTCTTGGTCCCCCGGATCAAGTTCAGAGCGTTTGGGATTCAACACAAACCTTGCTGTGTCTCGCCAGGTTCTGGTGCCACAGGCCTTCGGCTGTGATCCCTTGATACGGGACAGGCTGCTCCAGACATACTTTGGCATAGCTTACAAGTAGGCCCCCCAGAGGCGGATCGCCGCAATCGCGGTATCGAGTTGCAGGATTGCTTCAAGTAAGCGGACTGGTCCCAGCGCACGGAGAAAAGGAGATACGATCCCAACGGATGCTTCTGTGTCTGAAGAGGTGGCTGAGAGTCTACGTTGTGATGGACCGTGTGGCAGCCGTCAGCATGCTTTCAGGACACAATGCATCTCCGCACGCTGATGTCCGTCGCGCGGATCACGCCACCAAGGGTGCTGATCGTTGCAGGCGATGCGAGGGCAGAAGCGCATGTGTAGCCGCGTAGTCAGCATGTATTGTCTCGTCGTCGGAAAGGTTCAGACAGCGGAGGAGGAGCGGGACTCCAGGCACGTGCAAAGCCTGTTTCCGCCTTGATAGACTACCAGTTGAGCAAGCTCTGGGAGCTTAACTCTCAACATCTCTCAACCATGAAGACTTGCAGAGCTCGCACCTGCGAAATCTTCGGATGTTTCGGCGCGGACAGGCTTTGGGAGAAACCTAGCACTGCCGGGGTAGTAGTCGAGAGAACATGAGGCAAAGCCCAGAACCGGCTATGCCTTGTCTTGTCTGGTACCCTCAGGCGGACCTGAAGAGCTGTACTGCCCTCGGCGCCTTCGGCACAACAGCCGTGACGGCGCTCACCGCGCAGAACTCTCATGGCGTCGCTTGGACTCGGTTGGAGGTGTGGCAAGTCTTAGAGTGCATGTGTTGGAGTTGAGAATCTTCGGTCCGAGCGTGTTGGAGGGCTGTCATGAAGAGCTCCTTTGAAGGATTGGCAGAGTGGGATCAATATCTTTTGGGACTGATGCCGTTGCAAGTTATCTTCTTTGATCTTCAAGATATGCTTATGACTCCCGGGGTTAGAGATACCGCATGCCATGTGACAACTGATTGCCGGTGCTGTCTTTTGAAGCTGGCTGCTTTGGATTGAGGTCCAGGGCATTTTTCCCATTCCCATTGATTTCCTGCGGTCGCACCTCGCTTGCACAAGCCAGGCCGCTGCACTGCGTAGCAGCGACGTAACAGTTTACCGCTCGATAGTGATCCACGGGTCCAGGATTTAAGACTCCTCTGCCTGCATCTTCAAGGCAAATGGAGTCCGTGCTTACAGACTTCGGCACTGATGTGGCAGCTTGCTGTGAAGATTGTCTTCCATGGCTCGTGCTTTGTGCATTGCTGGGATGCGCTATGCCGCTATGCAGACAGTACAGGAACAAGGACATGCTTCGGAAGGAGGGTGACCACATTCAACCCTTAAGCAAGCAATTTCTTATCTTCTGTGGCTGGAGGTGAAAACTGGGATGCTGGCCACTTCAGAAATTGTTTCCGCGGTTGCGACGTCCCTGAAGGCAGGATTCCGCAGCTCAGTGATAATCCTGCTCCGCAGGGCCGCTTACTGTTCTGAAGATTGAACTCGTGATTGTCATCTTGCAGCGGCCAGGGCATCTGCAATTATCCAACGGTTTTATCGGAACACATAGATGTGACACAGTTCGTAGATGTTCGTAGTAGGCACGAAGGAGCCAACGTCGAGGCGTTTGGCCCTCCCACATCCCCGGGTCCGCATTCCCGCTGAAAGGAACATGTTGCACCGGCAGAGCGCTGGCGCCGGATCCTTGTTGTAGACCCTGCGACTTGGCACTACTGCAATGTTACGAAGGCCACGACTTTTGCCCTGGTGCTTTTTTCTTGTGCGACAAACACTCTTTGCCACAAGTGCTGCTTCCGCTGCTGCTTGCCAGTCCTGCTCCCACTGTTTCTCGTGATCGTGCCTTGTAGGTAGATTCCACGGACATATAATTATGAAATACGTTAATACGTTAGATAGATAGGTAGATGGATGGCTGTGTAGCTACGTAGATAGGTACGTGTTCATGAGGTTCCAAAACTCGATGAGATATTGTTCTGTGAGGCTGCTGTGTTGGATGATCGGCCGAATTGGGAGTCTTTCCGGCTTTGCAGGTTGGGTTCAGTATAGTTCGGCTTAGCAAGTATATATCTTGTGGCCCCAGCAAGCCCACATAAGGTTATGGTCTCTACCAGCGGGCACGCGCCACTCGGAGAATGTGGAAGTTGGCTGAGTTAAACTGCTGCATCGTAAGATCAACGCTGCTTTGCTCAAAAAGGACAAAGTACGTCCGGATGCGAGGTGAATCAGGCAGTTTTCTAGTGTCGGCTGGCTGCAGCCAAGCCCAGTCCCTCATGGCATTGGTACTATAGGTTGCAAGTACTTCAAGAGTCGTAGCACTAGTTAGTACTATATAGGTAGCTAGGACGTCGAGAGTAGTGGCACCGACAGGACATGGTTGTCTTGCTCTAAACAGATTGAATCAGCTTCGAGACTTGAGCTTCAAGCCGTTTTCTCCAGTACATTGGAGTTCTGCCGGCGGGGATCGGGCTGCATGGGAGTTTAGACCGAACGAACCACCAGCAACCCAGCGGGCAACAGGCTGTTGCAGCCGGATGCCGTGGAGAGCGTCCGGAAAGAGCTGCGTCTCGTCTCCCCAATGGGTTTGTGGAACGCAAGGGCTTGGTCCGGTTTCCTGAACTTAAACTTGTCTCATTCAACAGGGTTGGTTGCCCTGCAAGCTGGAAGGCATTGTCGACTGTACCCCAAATCGCCACCCCTGATGCATGCGATCCCATCCCCCAGCTTCCAGGTTCCCGCTTGCCACGATCATCACTCCGAACTTGCCCGAGGCTTGCCCAGGGGGATGTTCCCTTGGTATGGTTTTTATCTATTCCGGTCCAAAGTCTGGACTATGTCAGCGGAGCCCAGAGCCTCCCACTTGGTATAAGCTTCTCGAGTGCCAAGTTACTTGGCATTTACGTCCTGCCTCGGTGCGTGGTGACGATCCCACCCAAATCAGACCAGTCATTGCCTTCATGTCCAGGGTCTCCGAGCCAGGACAGCAAGCTCTTATTGTGCTTGTAAGTCGGGTCGTAGTACCGTTAAACCTTGTGGCTGGCCTACCCACCGCCACCTACCCACCAATGCTCTTTTGATGCTCTCTCTTACACAAATGAGAGCCTGGCCTTGCCTTGCTTTGTCTTGACAAGGCTCGGCTCCTCCTGGGCCGCGATGGCATCGACACGGCTACGAGCTCACGGGATTGGCGGGAAGGTTGGCGAGGAGTAGAAGTTCTCCGTACAACCAGTGTCTTCGCATGTCCGGAGGGTGCCAGCTTAGGTCGAAGCCATGAGGCAGGCTGCCAGAGAGCTTGCAGCCATGGGCCCTGAGTGGGTGCTGGTCAAAGGCCACCGCCGCAGAAGCAGTTGTCATTGTTGCTTCTGTGTTTAATGTGGTGGTGGCGGCAAAGAGGCGTGCTGGTGGTCGCCCAGCGATAATAGGGTCGACAGGCCGTCCACGCATATCTCTAGAACGGTCGAATGACTGGCACGACCCATTTAGGATCCTGCTCGCAAACGGGCGGGCGACCGGGCTTCCTTCAATTTGCCGAGATCGGGTGCATCGGGCCAAACTCACCGAAACCCTCGGCCATCGGACCCACAAAACCGAGTCCGAATGACTGTTCCCTCTATTCCTCGACCTTCTAACTAGTGGTACTCCAGTTGCACTAGATATCGTCGTCGTCGTTGTCCGTAGTCGCAGTAGTTTTGAGCATGTATAACTACGGATCCGAAAAGCATCCCACAGCACGTCGCAGACGTAAAGTGTTGCTAAAACAACAGAGCCAAGGGTTCGATTTCATTACAAATCACACCGAACATGGCGCGATTGTTTCATGTATGCTAGCCTTGCGAATAGATTTCCGGACTGCAGGACTGTCAGGGATGTTTTAGCATATCCATCTTACTGCTGAGCCCTATGTGGGCACCACTTCGTGCTTGGCCCCTCCTGTATGCGCCATTTCGTCAGACCAACTTGAATCTTTGCCTTGTCAGGTGGACACCTCGCGGAGAGCTCGGGACTCGGCAAGACGAGTGAACATGAGCCAACTCAACTGCAGGGCTGAGCCTCACCTGTCGGATCAAGTCCTTACCTTGCTGTTAAGAATCGCGCCCGACACTAGGCGAGGATGAGATGGAAGCGACTCTTGGTTGTCTTTACCGGACCTTAGGTTCAGGCGAATGCTTGACAAGAGCACAGCTTACCGGCAAACCAGTTGCCGGGGAACCGCACGCGAGAACGCCAACTCGATCCTAAGGACCGACGTGTTATGCAACGGCATCACGGGCGAATGTACGGCCTACAAGTCGTCAATGATCAAGACGTCGCACACCCATGGCACAGGATGCTGCAGTTGCTGTGGGCTTGTAACCTGTACGATTCCTTTTGTTGGACACGTTGCATTGGCAGCTCATTTGGCCTGCGCGAGACTTGAACTACATTCGTCCGAGAGAGCAGGAAGAACACGATCCTATTGTTTGTCTGTTTTGCAGGCTGCACCCTCGCTTCCTCCATCGCCAGCTGCCTGGCGCGAGGCATGGAGATGCCGATGGCAGTGCAGGCTGGAACAGTGGGCTCGTGACGAGGGTGTGTCGCATTATGTCGTTTCGTGTTTTAAAACAGATGATGTCTGCAACTAATTGGGGCGGGGGAAGCATCCAGCGGCTCAGGGGGAAGCTTTCCTGACATCAGCTACACGAGTTGATGCGTGCTTGCAGTGAAGCCATGCCGTCTACTCATATCATCCCTTGCCGGCATGTTGCTGCTCCGACTAGAAAGCCTGAAGAGACATGGCATTCTGCAGAACTCGAGTCCCGACTACAATGATGTGTTCGTACTGAGCAACTATCGGGCCGAGGAGAGCAAAGAGAGCCAGAGTATGCCAGATTCTTAACGTCTGCGAGACTAGATCGTGGTCAGAACATGTCAGAACGATGAATAGCGTGATGGTGTCAAGAGAGAAGGGCCTTGTCAGCAAGATTCTTGCATAAACAAGAGCGTAAGAAACAGTGCCAGTCAGACAGATGTGGTCACTGCAGTCGTGATGTCGGCGCAACTGCACGGCGAAGCTTTGCAGGAGGCGAAGCGCTATGTCAGTGGGGCCATTGCGGCTTCCGCGTCTCTCGGCCTCCGTGAAGTATTGCATTGGTATCAATGACTACAAGACACTGTATCGCTTGCGATGCGAGTTATTAGGAGCACGGGCAAGGTTTTTGCCCAGAGCGTGCTGTTATTGGTGGGACTTTGGTGTGGTACTGTATCGCTTGCGCTGTATTGAAACGTGGTTGCAGAGGCTGTTGCTAGTACTTTGCACATGTCAATCTCGAGCTGCTCATCATTTTCAAGCAGCATCACCAATATGATCACACTACTGCTGCTGCTGCTGCTGCTGCTGCTGTTGCTGCTACACCTACGCCTACACCTACACGGTTTCTCCCCCAACTCGGACTCCTTCTCATCCGCGTGTCGCCAAGTTGTACAAGTCCAAGCTGAGGCATCTGGCTTTGGGAACTGGCCCCCAGGGGCCCATGAACCACAGCCCTTCGGCACTGATGATGGCTCTGACATGGAGCGGGCTTGACGTACTGGTAGTACTCCGGGCTCTAGTGAGTTGCTTTGCCAGCCTGGCCTGCCGGCTTGTCTTCCAGACTTTGCATGTCATACTATGCTGCTGAGGCTGGAGACTCTTCGAGTGGTGAGTCGCAGGATACCTCGCTTCAACTGCCGACTGGCTGCTGAGCGGGTGCAAAAAGAGATGCAGACGCACATATCTCACGCATCTGTGCTTTGGCCGGATCTGAAGTTCCGAAGCTGCAACAAGCTACAGATGCACGTGGTCATCGCTGCTTCAGATACTACTCTTAAATACTCTTATGTTGCAATGATGGTTCCTGACAAAGTGCTGCACTATGCGTCGGAGGTGAAGCAGATGGCCTCCTTCGCAGACACAGTTGGCAAGGAGCGCGATTGACCGTACCTGCGAATGTTGTCAAGGCTCCGCTGCATCACAGCCTGACGACTGCACGTCATCTAGTGAGAAGCTAGTTGCTGAATGGGGTCAAGCATTGCAACCACATGCAGCCAGTATTACATGTCTATCATAGCGACCCAAGGGATTTCAGGAGCAATAAAGGTGGGAACTCACAGTAGATACACCTTGAAGTACATGTAGTCCAGTGATGGTTGGGAGGACTTGCGTGCGTCGCACATTGACATTGCGAACGGGGCAGACAAGAGCAGTTCGCATTGGAAGGCGCAAACTTGCCAAAGAGTTGGGGCACAGCTCCAAAGTTGAGAGCTTAGATGGGTGCTCAACAGTCAGATGCCGACATCTCCAAGAGGATAGCCTTATGTAACTTTTACGTACCTTCTCCGATGCTACTATGCGCTTAGCTTCTTGTTCGGGTCATTCAATCCGAAGGCCGTCCAGACGTCGGAAATGGTAGCAAGCCCAGATCGTGCCATGTCAAGCCACCAGCAAGTGAACTCAGCTGCCCCGTTCCTGTTTCTGTCCAGTACATGTTTGCTTCAACCGCAGCCGGGGTTTTTGCAACGCCGCTGACGACTGAGACTCTCACACAGTCTGGCGAATCCAGCCTAACATCAATCCCCCAGTCTGACCAGATCGGATGCGAAGACTCCCAGGCCAAATGGCTGCTCATAGATAAACCATAGGTCTCAGCACACCCTAGTTCAGCCCAAGCAAGTTCCCGAAACCTGTCGTGGCCTGCCATGGTTCTTGTCGATGACGAGGCGGGGTTCGATGCAGTTCAGTCGCTGAGTGTTGTGGTGCGAGGAGCCCGCACTTAGCGTTCAGTATCTGGCCCGACACGGGCCTCATCTTGCCCGGCTTTGAGCGATTTAGCCTGTGCCGGAGAACGATGCTCAACTGGGCTTTGTCGCAGGTCCCTGGCGGAAGCTTCGGGATTCGTTCAGTAACTTTGAACGATCTAAGACATATCTAAGACGTATACTGCCGAATCAGGATGAACAGACACTCTTGAATCAGGGCCTGGCCGCTTAGACCGCCAAGTGCTAGAGACCCGTGCTGACGATCATGAACGACGTAAAAGCATAGCCGGGTTACTGCAGAGACGAAGACTGATCGGCCGGACGACAAGCCGATCAATTGTCCCAAGCCTGAAGCTGGTGCCCTTGTGCTAGCAGACCTGCTGTTCACACATGCTCTTGTCTAATCTTGCCGAACTGCAGCTTTTGCACAGCTGTCGGGTGTGCTTCCAGCTCTTTCATGGTTGGGGATGCCAGACCGACCGTCCGTCGACAGGTGCACTCCGCCATTCGCGAGCAACTTGGATCAGCAGGAGCTTCACTCCGTCTCAATCCTGGGATCGCAAATTTCCCGATCTTGATCATGAAACTTGCGCCATATTGCCACTGATCATCCGTGAATTGACATTGAATATGTTTATCTCAGCATTCGTGAGAGAGGCCGGGTGGCCAATGGCAAGCAGTATTTGCGCGGGACATGGGCGAATTCGCTTGACGACGATTGTCACTGGCACCAAACAACACGCCCCAATGTCATCGACCGACTGCTACTGCTGCTTAGCACCATGTCCCTGACGACGAACATTCCGCATGCCACCAGTCGCCATGACTACTGAGAACAAGAAACTGACATAGAAAGACTTACAGACGTAGAAAGACTACAGACTAAGCTCACAACAACTTCGAAAACCGAGGAAGGGCGCGGGCCAGACTCAGGAGCCTCAGGGCGACACAAGTGGCCGGAGCCTCGGAGTAGGGGCAGAGGCAATGATGAGGTATTCACAAGAGCACTGGTAGCACCGACTGGCCCCGATCACGTACGTCATCTCGCAAGAAGCCACGACCAGCGCAAGACGAACGGTCCACGTTTGATCCCACCGCATCACCAGCCTCGAGTCGTAGTCATGATAATGGCAATGGCGCTCCGTAGTTTTCCACATCTTGTTGCTCACATGGAGTCTGCATATGTCTGCATGATGTCGGTATCCGCAAACCCATACTTTGAAAGCCCCTCCAGCCATGCGAGAGGGAACAAAAGCCCGTGTCGAGGTTCGGGGGTTTCTGGGACTTCGACGGCAGCGACGCGCAGTCGCGTGCTGCAAGAGCCGGAGTTGTGCTTATGTTCAACATACAATAGCACAGTAGAAACAAGCTTGGATAGCAGCAAACCTGTGCCCTGATGCGTGCCAACCTGCGGCTATATCTAGATCATCGCTACGCCACTGCACCTGCCCTTTGCAGCCCAGCTGCTGCTACTTCATTACTACCACTGCCAGGGTGTACTATAATGCTCTGCGTGGTGCCTCAAGCCGTGCCTTTCTTGAGCATGATCTTTGCTCCTGTCACTGTCACCTCGGCTACCACTTCTCCTGTGTAGTGGGTTTCCATGACAAGTCTCTGGTCAGAGGTCTGTGACGCAATCGTTCGGGGATTCGAGGCTTTGTGGTAGGTTGCGCGAATCTGAAACAGCTGCCGGGAATTGGTCGGCAGTTGATGCCTCAACACTGGTAGCCTAGGTACTCTGCCGAAGATCCCAGAGGGCGACAGCATCAAGCATGAGAGCGAGGCTGTGCCGCGCTGGAAGATCCGGGTATGTCGTTGACTGTCACTGAGCTGCTGCCTGAACGAAGTCTACCCGACACCCTCACAGGACAGCAAAGCCTACTAGACTGGAACGTTGTTTGATTATTCCTCGCAGGGACAGTCGTCACCATCCAGGCTTAAGGAGCCATCAATCGTCACCTGGCAGGGAGAGATTGATCTTTTGCGATAGGAAGGTGATCTGTAACACTTGCGAGCTATGAGGTGTCTCTCGACATGGAGCTTAAAGGGGACTGGGCTGGATTCGATCTATTGCCGCTCGGCTTGGTGTTGGGTATGCAGAATGTTGATACTTGCGGCAGGCTTGCAGCGGTATGAGCTGGTCGCCGCAAGTGACTTACAGACTTTCGACGGCTCGGCCCCGCCCCCGCAGCTCAGGACCGTTGGTGGAGAGAAGCTCATAGTGCACCGCCGCGGCAACCTCGTGATCATATCCGGCTGCATCACCACCGTGTGCGGGACCTGCAGGAATCTCGAGCTGCGGATGTTGCAGATGTTGCAGATGCCAGGTCGCCCATGAAGCAAAAGGCGAACTTCGACCTCACTGTCGGCCAGGCGTCCAGAACCTCTTTGACTGGGAGTTGGGTGGCTTTGAGATTGTTTTCTCCGACTTTGCACATCACGAGTTGCGGACACAGTGGAAGCACATGGACCAGAGTCCGCCAGAAGTCATTCGCAAGTTGTTTTCATAGTTGGCCTAACTCGATGCAGTGCTTTCGGAGGGCGTCTCGCATCTGTGGCTTCGCTACGGGTCGTAGCATCGGTCATTCGCGAAAGCAGGTGCCCTATCACAGCAACCCGCAGCGGTACGTCCCCTTCGTGGCGCCCACTGCCATGTCGCGCTATGAAGGCTCGATTTCAACAAGTGTGTGTGTGTGTGTGTGTGTGTGTGTTCTCGACAGCAGAACTTGTGCTTGATTGGGACGGCTTCTGGATTTCACAGCAGTCTCAAACATGTTGCGACCTGCCAGAGGCATCAAGCAGTGTGGAACTAGCTCCACATTGCGAGATGATGGCAGGACCCTGAAAATACCAACGTACTGCATGTCAGCCGAACTCGGCAAGCGCTCAGGCCGGCTCATGATCAACTTCAACAAGAGCCCCGGCTCCCTTGTTTGGACAGTCGCCAGGTGCCAAGCAAGAGTCAGGTCTAGGACGCGCGGTGCGTAATCTAAGGAACACGAATCCCATGGTGCTGCACTTCTCGGGGCTGGTCTACAACATCCGAGGCCCAACGCAGCCACCAGCTGGAGACAACTTTCAGGTTCTTGGGTCTTTGCTGCCAGGTGAGGCGGAGGAGGAGATCGACATCTTCGCAAGAGAGCGCCGTAAGCAAGCCAAGGACATTTTCTTGACGTTGCCGTGCCCTGGCGATACATGCAGCGCCTTCTTTAATCACATGGTTTTTGAAGGATGTGAAGGACGTCACTGGCAAGGGCAAAGGCAAGGGAAAGGACCGTGCAGGTTTGGAAGATGGGTTGTATTGAAACTGGAGGGCTTCTATCGCCATGGCCGTATACCAATTCACTTGCTCGAAACGTGTGCGGGACCTTGTAGTCGTTTAGCAATCCCCCCCCCGGCCTTGCCCGCACCTTGCAAGTGATTGAGATGCAATAAGGACGCCCGCCTGTCCCACTAAAGTGGGCGATTCCAAAACCGACAATGTCCCTGACCACTAGGAGTCAAAACGCAAGCTGGCAGGTGTCGGCCCGAAAATGCCACTACACCCAGGAAACTTCTGAAAGCAATTATGCCAAGCTTCTGCCAATGAAACACAAACCCTCATGCACAAGAGCTGTTCCGATGCATGTCGTCTTGACAAGCATGTTCATGAACATGTGTGAACTGCTCAAACATGCTGCTTGCAGTGTTTGCTAGCACGGAAGAAGACCGACTGCAAATGCTGCGGCCGCTGCGAAGCTGTCATTTGATGTCGCTTGCTGAGATGCAACGTGGAGAAAAGCTACATGCATGTAGACACTGGAGGCTCGTCGGTTTTTTGAAGCGGTGAGAGTGGGTCAAACTCCATCACAGTTTCTCCTGTTGTTGGTGTCGCACGGCAATGGGGCTTTGAGGACGACGACATGTCGCCCACTCGGCGCCAGGATTTACGGGCATCGCCACAGGAGGGGACTGCATCTCCGTCATGTTCCGTGCCTCAGAGCATCAGTCGTGCACTTTGTTTTCTTCTACAGGACCCTCCGGGACTGCAGAGGGAGAATGGCATTGTGACACTTCAGGCAAAGCATGTCAAAGCATGCGAGACGGTCGCCACAACATGTGCTTATAAAGCATCCAGGGCTCACTGCTTGAAGCGACCTACGGCTTCTCCGACCTCATGGTCGGCACTCTGCCAGAGGCCTGCAGCCCTTCCCCGGTCCCGCTGGCCGTTTTCTGCATGCCCTGATGCCAGGGCTATTGGCCGAAGCGAGAGATCCGCTGCCTCGCGCCCTTGCTCCGCATGCCAAAGCAGGCGCACAAATCACTAAGAGCGAGAGAGAGAGAGAGAGAGAGAGAGAGAGAGAGAGAGAGAGAGAGAGAGTTGCAGCAGTCCCCATCATTTTCTTCTCACAGTCTCAGCAGACCTTACTTGTTGGCAGAGCACCAGAAAGGGGACACGTAGTCGCAACAAACGTCCCTGACTCTGGGGGGCGATCTGTGCAGCTAAATCTTGGGCGTAGAGTGCTTTCTCCTTGTGACGACGAGCTCCCAAGGGGACAACTTACACGCACGTGTCCTACAGCAGTGAGTTCCAGTCATACCGCCGTACCGCATTCTGAAGACATGTCATGTATTTGAACCACTGGATGACTCACGAAGACTTTCACGGCCCACCCACAGCTCCAGAAAGTGTTGGGGGCCCTGGTGGCCGAGGGACCTTTCTAAGGAAGGAGAGAGAGAGAGAGAGAGAGAGAGAGAGAGAGAGAGATACAGAAAGCGACAGAGACGGCTGCGCTGCGCGTCTTCGCATGGCTTGGGGAAAGGCCGGTGGGTTCACTCCTTAGAGGCCGTTAGTTAGCAAGCAGGCGACAGAGGCAGAGCGAGAGCGCGAGAGAAGCCTGGACAGCTCCGGACGAGAGGAGGGGAGGGAGGGAGGGAGGGAGCAGGAGTAACTCGGCAGAAGTAACAAGTATGTTGCCCGCTCCTTCAGGATGATTTCGCATGCTGTCCTATTGCGGTGCCTGAGAAAGCAAGGATCGATTGCATTCATGTCGTAGATCTTAGCAAATTCCGTTGGCTTTCTGACCGTTGTGGTTATGAATCGGCAGGGAATGTTGATCGAATGTTGAGGGTACGATTCGGAACTTCCGGCTTGCTAGTGAAGCATGCTCAAATCTAATTGCCAGCTGAGGATCAGAGCATAGCGATGACCATCAAGCCTGACGGGAACATTTACGTTCAAGGCGGAAACCAGCATGCTGTCGACCAGACACCGGGCTTAACGAGCCAAGCCTCCGTGGTGTATCACTCCCGCAGAGGGTTTTGCCGCCGAGAGTAGCAACCTCACTTAGTCAACCGCTCACGTGGAAGCGGGAACTCAGGAAAGGCCTCATGCGAGTGCTGCCGCAGAGGAAGCGAGGAATCTTGAGCTTTGATGGTTTGCGCTTCTCCCAAGCCAACAACGGGCTACCGGGATGCAGATTAATTAGGGACTTTTTAGCGGTGGTGCAAGTGGCGGTGGCACTTGCTGTTCTGTAATTCTACTACTCGTAGCATCCTCTCATGATGACGACTTCACATTTCGCTGCGAGGGCAAGGCCCCCCAGCGACTGGGCCTGGCGTTTTCCGCATCAAAGGTTCCCGATAAGCCTGGCGGCCGGCCTTGACAACAAGCAGAACGTGAGCAAACTCATGGAGCACCTTGGTCTTAAGCCTCTCTGGAGCCCTAGGCCTGTCGAACTACTTTCCACACAGAATCTATTTTCTACACATACTATCTATCGCTCTGTCTGTGGTACGGTTAGGTAGTGTTGCTTCGTGAGGATGCTAGCTGGCAACCGCACCGACTCGGCATTGGCGTTCAAACACGGCGACGTTGTCTTGCCACTTGGCTTGTGCAGCTTGGACATGCTCCAGGCTGCACATTTGAACCACGACCTGAGTCTTGCAATCTAATCTGTCATTGCTCCTCCGGTCTGACGCTGACTTCAGATCGACCGCATCCTTTCTTGATCTTTCTTGTCCTAATGTTAGAGATACTCGTAGGGACACGTTTCATTGTTTAACGTGCTGCGAATCGAGTGTCAGGCTGGAGGGGGGCTTAGACTGGCAGCTTGGCTGAACATCATCTTGGCTCACTCCGTAGGCACGTTGGGCGGTACTGGAGCCCGAGGATCAGCAGCAAACCGCTCAGCAACAAGCAGGTCATCGCCAGATTACCAGAAGGCGACCGACGGGTCACAGCTTTTGCTCGAACTGTTTTGGGCCCTTATGACGGCAGGTTGCTGGCCACGCCGGCGAGAGATCTTCTTCACCCGTGGGCGAGACGAGGACGGGTTCTTGTGCAGGTTCGTCAAAATCGATGAGCATCTATTCCGTAATCTGCTTGACTGTGTTTGGTTATGATGTTCTACGGCGGTAGGGCTCATGCAGTTTTTTCCAGGGTCCGCCGGAGAGTTTGAGCACTGACAGTCTCAAGTCAGGAGCGCCGTCGAGTGGACATCGACAAGTGGGGCCGGATCTTCTGCCCCGAAGGCTCAAACTGGAACGTGCCGAAGCGGACCACACATGCGGCAAAGACTTGCCATGTTCCACACCTTGGTTAAAGGGTTCCAGGTCATCGTAGAACGTGGCACTGCTACCGCAAGGGTCAGCTTACTGCTGCAGGCGAGGACAAGACGAGCGACGGCGGTCATATGGAACTCAGTGGTCCCTCGGAGCCAGACAGCAACAGTAAGCGGATCCAGGGCCCTAACTTCACACGCACACTCCCATGCCTCGCCACCGCGCCACACTCCTGTCTAGCATGATGAGCGCGGTCTCAATTCGAATATTTTGCCAATTTCCAAGGCATCACCTTCATTGCTGCTTCTGAGCCACCTCCCACTCCGCCGCTAGAGGCGGATGTTGACGACCTGACACTGGGTCTGGATATTCGGGCGGGAAGGTCTTTGTACAAGAGATTGAACTGATCGAGCTGTGCAAAGATGGTGCAGCATGAGTAGTTGAAAGCACTTCCGCCCCTTGATGTTCGTTCTTGGTCTGGTCTACGCAGAGAGAGAGGGAGAGAGAGAGAGAGAGAGAGAGACTGCGGAAGAGAGAGAGAGAGAGAGAGAGAGAGACAGAGAGAGAGAGAGAGAGAGAGCTCATTTCCACGAACCCTAGAATGGTGTGCCAACAGCTTGCATAAGACTTGCATGGCCGTTAATTCAAGCGCGTTTTTCCCCTCGTACACACAGCCTTTTACATACCAGATTCTTAACAGTGCCGGTGCGAGCAAACAAACACCCCATACGGGGAACACAGTTTCGGAGCACCCTTTGCTATGTAAAGCCGAGCCCATCCAAACAAAATGTTGGATGGGGTAGCGCTAACGCGCGGGGCGGGAGGACTGCTCTCGCCCTACACCCCTAGCAAAGCAAAGAGAGAGAGAGAAAGAGAGAGAGAGAGAATTTTGGCTCAAGGCCGTGAGTGGTTCAAGGCCTGAGCCCCAGAGTGAGAAGCGGAAAGGTCTCAACAAAGGGGAAGAGCGAGGGGAGAGACCGTGCTCCCTGGCGCACATAGTTGCGAGCCCATCTACATCTGTGCCCTACTTTGCGACTTCGCCGGGGTCGTTCGGAAAGGCGACATCGGGGGGATCACTCCTGTACGGCATCTGTGCCCTGTTCCTTCGGGACCTGCACGCCATCGAGCTCTACGGGCTCGGCGACCCTACAGGGGGAGCTGCACTACTGGCCGATCAGCCGCAAGACCGCCTTGGGTGGGGGACGGCACCTACTACCTGATTGTTGCACTACTTGCACGCGGGCGACCTAGCATTCTACCTGGGGGACACGACTACCATGGCAGATTCACAAGGCAGTCATGACATGCCGGTGGACCATGCAGGCAACTCTCCCGTCAAACGCAGAGCAGCAGACCAGGGGGACAACCTTGCAACCCACCTGGACGTCATCCGTGAAGCCATCAGGGGCGAGCTCAAAGATGCCCTTTCCGAAGTGAAACAGGACATCAGGGGATTCGCGGCCAGGGTGGACAACGTGGAGAGCCAGGTCACCAAGAAGATGCAACAGACCATCAACCTGCTCGACGACATGACCACCAAGTACTCCGCGCAGGGGGACATGTTGCAACAGTTGCAGGAAGCCAACAAGGAAGTCCAGGCCCGTCTCGACCGTCTGGAGAAGGGAGGAGGGTCTTCCGCAGGAAGCACAATCGCCCCATCGGAGGTGGGAAGAAAACCCGCCTTAGTGGTCGGGGGATGGGACCCAGATCAACCAGCGGGGGACACCAAGAATGCTGTGATCGACGTTTTGAAGTCCGTGGACGCCCCCATTGACTACAACTCGCTCTTCGTTCCAGGCGTACGGAGGGGATACGCAATTCTCCCCATTGATGACCAGCCGGGAGAAAGCTTCGAACAGCGACGCCAGCGTGTCCAAGAAGTTATCTCCAAGGTCAGGGGGGCGAACATCCAGTCAGGCAGCCGATCTGATGGAGCTCCACGGAAAGTCTGGATTGCGATCTCCCAACCTCCTGACCGGCGTCGACGCGCACGACTCGCTGCCAAGGTGAAGAGGCTTTTTCTCTCTGCCGGGGGGGACAAGAATGCCCTACAGATGGAGTTCAGCACGGGCACGGCCTGGATCAACAGCATCAAAGTGAGCTCAGCCACGGCCCCGCGGCCCGGGGGAGCTGAAGAAGCTGGCCCAGGCTGGGTGAACCTGGGGGAGATAGCAAAAGCTACCAAGCTCAGCCACGACGCCATCAACACGGCGTGGTCTCCGCTTAAGGCGGAGATCAACTGAGAAGAACAAACCGCCGAGCAGTTTCACCCCCCAGCCGGGGGGGCTACAAATACCGGCGCCATATGGGCCCTGACCTGGAATGTCGGGGGGCTTTCAGCCGACAAGCTGCTGGAGCTTCTGGACACCTTCCAGCACAGCCCGGGACTGGACTGTATCGGCATCGCCCTTGTGCAAGAAATCATTGCGGAGGCGGGCCTGTTTCATGCAGAGTCAGATGTTTGGCAGCTCGTGTATGGCAAGTGTGAGGGCGAGTTTCGCGGAGAGGGGGTGGCGCACAGAAAGCACTTCCGACACCATCACAGCACCGTGACCCAAGGGGGGGTGACTACCACACTCAAACAGCAACACACCCCTACTGTACTCAGAGTGCTAGCAGCCCACCTCCCTCACCATGCCACCATCCCCCAGACTGGAGACATTCTCCACGAGTGGGGAGACACACTCGAGGGCAGAGACCGCTGGCTGATAGGGGTGGACGCCAATGAAAGTTTCACCACCACCCACTCACTTGCAGCAGAGGCACAATCGCACACCGGCAGGGGGGAAACAATCCTGCAATGGGCCAGTCAACACGGCCTACGACTACCACCACAACAGCTTCATGTGCCTAGTTACCACCCATACAACCAGCAGATGCAACCCCGAAGACTCGATTACCTCTTCACCAAAGGCATACCGACAGGAGAAGGTAAAGTCCTCCCCATCAGAGACCGAGCCTTTTCCGACCACGATGGCATAGCCGCCCCAGTCATGCCCCAAGTACACAACACCCCAGGCAAAACTACCTGGGGCCCCCGAAAGCTCCGACCTGAACACCAGGTTGAGCAACTCATGACCGTCCCAGCACCGAGGGGAGAGGACCCTCACCACACCATAGCCACACTTGCGAAGGCTATCACCCTCCCCGGGGGGAGCCACACCCACTTCCGAGAGAGCAAGCACCTGCTACACCTCAGGCACACAGCCCACCATAGCACACCAGGCCCCCAGGCCCGGCAAGCCTGGAAGGCCGTGGCCAGGCAGCACAAACAAGAGCAGCGACAGTGGAAGAAACAACAAGCCGAACGGGCTGCCAACCTCGATTGGAAAGCATGGAAAAGCCTCCAAAGAAGCCAATCCCACAAAGGCTGGCAACTGACCCTCCAAGATGACACGCAATGGCAGGAACACCTGCAGGAGCACATGCGGTCCATCTTTGCCAAGCCACAACCTGTCCGAGGGGGAGCCCGGGTGGAGGCACTACGATCCAAACTTCGGCGACTATGCAAAGACACACCCTTCCAGCCCTTCAGCAGGGACGAACTTGCCAGTGTTACAACAACCTGGAGCAACAACAAGAGCACAGGGCCTGACGGCATATCTCACGAGGCGGCGAAAGCACTCATCGCCGACCCCGCGTGGGGGGACAGACTGGCCTATCTCCTTACAGACATGCTGTACACGGCCAAAATCCCTGGGGGGATTGAAAAGGGGATAACAGTGCTGCTGCCCAAGATCCCCACCCCCCTTTCCTGGACAGATACCAGACCCATCACGTTAAGCAGTACCTTGCTGAAATGGGCAGCACAACTGCTCCTTGGCAGAGGGGGGGAACAAGTGCGAGGGGAGGCCACGTTGCAGTGGGCGAGGCGGGGGAGGCAAGGAGTGGAACTCGTCGCAACCATTCGACGCGTGACACAAATGTCACGAGACTGGGGGGTGGGCACATGGCTTGTCAAATTGGACATACGG